TCTTCACTGAGAATACAGTGAACACAAAACCAAATGCTCTATAATGCAAGTTACAATTACAAATTGTGCAAGCTTGTACTTACTTTTCAGGCTAGTAAAAAGCATAGAACAATTTTTTATATAGCTTCAAATCCAAATCTCAACTGTTTCTAGACAAGAAGCTTACACTCCTTGCTGAGATTAGCCTGTGTCTGAATGCAAGCCTTACAGAAAGGGCTCTGTATACAGTTTAACTCATTTATTACAGAAAATATTGAGGACCAGTACTGGAAAAGAAATCCTCTGCCCATTAACTAGAGACTGCTTACATTTCTAGAAGTTCTTTTCAATGAATCATCTTCCTAATTTATTTTTTTACTATTGGCAACCTATTACAGATGCTGGAGCACCCAAATACACTGTAAAGTGTGAACTGAAGTCCCTGATAGTGATGGGGAGAAGAAAGAAATGGGAAATACTTCGACATCACAGTATTTTTTACCTTATCTATGGAGAAAGCATATGCTTAAAAACATCTAAATTGAGAGACAGCAAATTAGGGTAATCACACCTTCTACAGTTAGAAATTCACTGGTTTTGCCAGCTTATGCATGTAGCAGACTATTGCAGATGCTGCATTTCAAGGCAGGCAGAATGACATGGATTTTCTCCATCTCACAAAAGGAGAACCAAGTCACAAGACAACACATTGATCAGCCCATGACAAAACCCAAAGGAGCAAATCCCCAGTCTAACAAGGCTGTCCTGTCTCTGCCGGCTGAGGCTTCCCAGGAAGACCGTCATTCTGCCTCCCTCTTCTCATCACATCAGGATGAACAGCCTTTTCTCAAGCATTACTGTATCTGTTACACAATCTGCTGTAACTTCAGGGCAGAAATTAATTCAGAAACAGAGTCCAGTTAACTGTGTACAAAGACAATTTGAAGTTCTGTTTCCATTCAGAAAGACTGACATCAGCTGCGCCAACTACATTATTTTCTTCTGTAACTCTGATACAGATGTTCTGAATTGCTCCACCCCCTTAAACACTCAAATATTTCACAATTAGTTGAACTGTGGATGTGAATCATCTAATTTCCTTTTCCAGTAAGGGTCACTATTGGAAAATTGGAATACCAAGGCTAAATAACCATGTTACCAATGCAAATTATGACAACTGCTGTTCCAGTGAATCAGTGCTCTGCTTTATGCAGTTTCTTAAAGCAATACTATGTACCCCAGAATGAAAGGGGAAAAACAACTACATTAACCTTACTACTCACAATCCATCTTTGAAACCAGAGCAAAGCAGGGGAAAATTCAGTAATCCAATTAAAAAGGAAAAAAAAAAAAAAAGTGAAACAACTTCCAGTAGTGAATCCTTGACACAATGCATTCACTAGCAGCAGAAATTGTAGAAACTGTGTATGGTCATCTTACATGCAAGGAAAAACGGTGGCAAATTTAACAAGTTTAGTGGTACAAAACCTATGTCTATGCTCTGACCTAAAAGCTCCGAATGATCTTTAAGGACTGATCAACAACAGAAAAAGCCTGAATCTGAAAAGTTAATGCTGACTTTTATACTTTCTCTAAAATGCTTCCATTTGCTTCCAAAGGCAGCATTCTGGGAAGCACAATGCTACCAAGTACTTGAAAGTACATTATTAAGATGCCCCAAAGGAATGTCATTTATTGTATTTAAAATGTTCAAAAGAAGATTATAGGACATGAACTGCTTGCACTGTGAACTGCACTTAATAGGGTTGCCCAAAGTGCCTTGTGCCCCTGCTTCAACAGCACTTGATATTCAATATTAAATACTGAAAGATATTAATATTAAAGGATATTAATAAAAGAAACCTACTAAAAAACTGGTACTTTGCTTGCACTTCTGGAGAAGACCTCAGAATAAACACAGCAAAAAAAGCAAAAGCACAAGCAAACTAAAAACTCCTCAGCTATGCAAGACAAGGAAGAACATACATACCACCACTACCCCTTCCCTAACACTGTCCTATAGAATTAGAGCATAACTGGAGAAGGTTTTCCAAGCAGGGAGAATGAGAAACCCCAGCTCACTCAGCCCAGTGGCAAGTCCACACACGGTTTGTGATAAGCCCTCAGAGAGGTGATTCTCTTAAAAAGCCAGGATTCATGAGCAATGTGCCAGAGTGGTAACTTGATCTAGGAATAAGCCCAATGGAAGAATGAGGAAGTAAATGTTTTCTGACCCTTAATGCCAGGAAACCATCACCTCCTCCTTTTGAAAGGCAGTGCCAAAGGCAGTATTTGCAACTCAGGAAAGTTGCAAAGGAAGTTGCCCTTTGTTACCTCTCCTGTTATAAACTGCTCAAAGACTATGCTCACCTTGCTGGGAGATAAAAAGAAATATCTCAACAGACATCAGCCCTCCTCTCGCACCGTAAAGTATTAAATAAACATAGTCATCAAGAAACAATGTAAAACTTGTCTTTTAAAAGAAATTAGCATGGAGTGAGAGGGTGCAGTATACCTTGCAGGCAGAAACCAGGGACAACTCTTCCAGAAGGAACATGGCTTATTGCTTGGTTAAAAAAACAAAAACCCCAACACACACCACACAAAAACCTGGGTAAAGTCTGTAATGAAACAGAAACCTACTTGGCATCCCACTGACTGCAGTCACAGAAAGTCCTACTCACTTTCATTCCTGATGTTGAAACACCCTAAATTGGACACCCAAAGTCATTAGTTACTTTGGAAATTTCTGGGATGTGATTTTCCTCTGGAGTCACATTTGGGTGGCTTTTCAAGGGCGATATTTCTGTGAATAACTACCATCTTTCTATTAAAATTGCCTAACCAGCAAGTAAGTTTGATGTTAAGTCTAGGCCTTTGCACAACACTGATTTTTCAAAGCTGTAATGTAATTGAAAGGAAAAAGAGAAGTCACTAATGACCCATTTTCTCAAGGTGAGACATCAATGATTCGCTTTTTAGACATTCCATAGTTGAAAACAGAGATAATTAAAGCAACTTAGCTGCTACTTCCCGAATGTCTTCTGTCATTTACAAATGCACCTTTGTGGACTGTGGCCCTTGGTTACAATTCCTTTAACAATTGTGCAGGGTTTCTTTGGTTTGTTTGTTTTTTAAAAGACTATACTCTTTCATTTTCTGTGCTTTTTAATAACTATGCTTGCTTACATGGAAAAAATATTTTTATTACATTCTTTATATTTAACGTTTATTACTCCAGCATTCGATATCTCTGCAGCCCCAAAGATGGGAAATGGAAGGTTTTTTTCATATCTTTCTATTAAAAATGCATCAAGAGTGAACACTGATTGCAAGATGAGGCTCACACCTGATGTAGTTGAACCACACCTTTGAAGAAGATATGCAAGACAGCTCCATCAGCCTAACAGAGAAGGGGCATCCCTCCTCCAAAATATTTGTTACAGCAACTCTTTCCTTGTGGAAGATTATTGGGTCAAAAGAGACGAAGGATCCAAGACATTCCTTTACCCTCTTCACATCGATGTCCTGGCGTATACCGCGGCAGCGCTACCATTAGGTGCCTCTAGCGAGGCTTCCTTCCTGCCGCGTATAGAATGCAGAAAGACGCATCTATAGGTTATACAACGCGGGGCAGCTCCACTCAGCTATGCCAGAGAACGAGCGGGGCCCGAGTGCCCGCCGGCACCATGCCGTTCCTAGGAGGCGGGGGCGACCCCGCTGACACGGCCCCGCTCGCTAAAGGCTACCGAGCCCGCGCAGAAGGGCTGTCCCGGTGCGGGAGGCACGCTCCT